CCAACAATGATCAATGAATAATGATGAGGTCCCCAGGTGCCTGTCTGCTGAGGTGATCTCAAAGTCGATGCAATCTGGGATTCCACTTGCAGACTGCGGAGTTAACATCCTCTTAGAATTTAATTAGTATCATCATTATCCCTATAAATGTTTACCCGGCAAGTCATTCCAAAGCTCTGAAAACTTAAAAAATATATATAGTAATAAAACTTTTCCAGGGAAACGGACACGTTACTACCATAATTACCTCTGCCAAAGTTATCTCTCAAATACTAGACAACAGCAAATTTGCAAGCTATATGCCAATAGTTTGCTTATGTTATATATTTTTTACTCAGAATGCTTTGCATTTACTTTACACACAGAAAAATGTTAGAAATGGTGGTTAATTTTCCAGACTAGCCCTCAAATGTACATTAAATCTGTAGAAGAGCTCAGTAATGTGGTACAGCAGGAAAACATGAATTCTCTGAAGTCAGTTCCCTAAATCACTAAACGCCATCTACCAATCCTCGGTCTCTTTCAAATCATTCAACCTCCCTCTCTCTCTTCTCTCTCTCTCTCTCTCCCTCCCTCCCTCTCTCTCTCTCTCTCTCTCACACACACACACACACACACTCTTTCTTCCCAGTGCTGGGGACTGAACCGAGGGCCCTGGGCATGGTAGGTAGCACATGCTCTACCACTGACCTACACCACCAGCCCCTCAAATGTTTTTTTGCAACTAGAAATCGTTGTTTCTACCTACTGCTAGACCCAGCACACCACCTCCATTAAAAAGTACACATCTAAAACTTAGTGATAAAGTGACAATTATCTATAAGGCACCAATTTAAAAAAAGAAAAAAATTAACAATTTAAAGTTAATGTAACTGATATATGCTTCATTTTTTTAAAAATTCTTGAAGTGATTTTTAAATCACTTCAGTTCTTGAATGGCTGCCAAAACAACAACAAAATTTTGATTCCTAAATACAAATGTGGTAAGTTTATCATTGGCTTAGCCAACCAAAAGATCATGCAACTCTCCTTTGATCCTTAGGACTGGTCCCAGAACTTCCCTCAATTAAAAAAATAAATAAATAACCTTATATCAAAAGGCATGGTATTTGCCTACAGCCCATGCACATCCTCTGGTGTGGTTTAAATTTTCTTTCAGCACCTAAAACAACACAAATGCTATCTAAATAGTTACTGCAGTCTATGATCCAGGGAATGGTGAAAAAAAGAGCTTCTGTGTGCTCCGCACACGTCTCGATGGGCTGGAACCCAGGGCCTCCTCCTGGCCAGGCAAGCACTCTCCCACTGAGCCACATCCTCAGCCCTTTCAGATGCAATTTTAAAATAGGTATTTTCTGATGTGTGGTTGGCTGAACTCATGGACATGAAACTCACTGTTTAATCCCACCCAGCAAAGATGCACATTCATTTAGAGAACTCCCAACTCCCCAAAAGCTAATGAGATGTTTTCTTGCACATCTTTTTAAAATATATATATGTATAAGTTGTTGATCGACCTTTATTTATTTGTTTGTTTGTTTGTTTGTTTATTTATTTATTTGAGGTGCTGAGAATCAAACCCATTGCCTCATGCATTCCAGGAAAGTGCGCTGCCGCTGAGCCCCAGCCCCAGCCCCTTCTTGTGCATTTTTAAAAATGTTTAGCAGATGTGTTCAAAACCCACCGAGCCTTAGTTTAGATTATTTTAAAACAGGTCATAAAATCCTTGTTCTGCAGCAATCAAAACTCCTTCCTTTGAAAACTGGCAATTAGAGGGGAATGACCGCTCGCTCGGCCTGTTCATCTGGACACTTGGTAGGGGACCAACAGTCCAACTGGAAGAAGGAAAGCTTGACTCCCTTAAAAGAAAGCCAGGGAGTCAACAAAGGACGAGAGGAACCACACTGAGCCCCGGGGAGCCTGGTGTGGGCAAGCGCAGGGGGCACAGCTCACCCCCGGGATGAGGTCTGAGGGTCACCTTCAGGTGATTGCACCACTGTGCAAACATCACAGGGTGTGCTGACACACTCGTCCAAGACATCACTGAGCCCTGCAACCTGCGGCCACGGCCCGTCGCTGGCCAAAGCATCATTGTCTTATAAACTGCTGTTTAAAACACTAGACTGAGAGCTGATGTGACGATGCCCAAACCCACCTGTAGGGGGCTGTGAGTCACAGGAGAAAGGCACACACTGAGGGGCTGGATGGCTACCCACAAGCCAGTGGTCATTTTCAGCGTTGTTAATAGTGATCCAAGTATTTCATGTTTTCTGATGTTGTGCAACCTTTACTATTAATGGATAAGCCTCTGTTTTAACTTCCAGTACACAAGAAATACACAGAATGGAGTAGCTTTGTGGAGTTAAAAGAAACCACAAGAAAAAAAACAGTGAAACTCAAAAAGCAAAGAGACCATTCTACCAGATGCCAAGGCTGGTCCCGTTGATAAGTCAATGCCATCAAGAAGTGATTGTGCCAGGCTTGGTGGCACACGTCTGTAACGGTAGCAGCTCAGGAGGCTGAGGCAGGAGGATCTCAAATTCAAGGCGAGCCTCAGCAACTTAGCAGGACTCCAAGGAACCTAGCAAGACCCTGTCTCAACATAAAAAATAAAGGGGCAGGGCTGGGTTGTAGCTCAGTGGTGGAGCGCTTGACTGAAACGGGTGAGGCACTGGGTTCCATCCTCAGCAACACATAAAAACAAATGAAGAAAAAGTAAAGTTTAAATTCTTTTAAAAATTAAAATGAAAGGGGCTCGGGATGTGGCTTAAATGCCCCTGGATTCAATCCCTGGTATTTAAAAAAGAAAAAAAAAAAGGATCCTATCAAGAAGAGACAGCAAAGGCACTGAGCCTCATGCATGTGGTTGCAGATTAGATCATTTGGACGTTTGAGGCCAATATGGAAAACACCAATACAATCTGGGCATAAAGATGATAAAATATGTACTAATACAAAAGAACAGATCACTGACTAAAAAAAGAAGCAGGCAATAAAACTGCTTATAAACACAAAACCTGTAACATGCATGTACATGACTGCATACATAGGTCCTGCTTCTATAAAACATAAAGGCTCTTCCTAAAATTCTCAAGGGTGCAAACATAGGTTTTTGTGCATAATATTACTTTTTACAAAAACAGAATTTCAAAATTTACAAACTGTGTTTTAATCATGAATTTGCTTTACAAAGCATTTCCATTTCCATTTCCAATCTCACCTTAAGATTGGCATGAGAAGGCTAACCACTGGGACCCCAAAATCTAGCTAGAAAGCAGTCAGTGGCATATCCATAGAATAGAGGCAAGTTCCCCATTTCACGAAACAATAGGGCACACTTACTCTTTTGCAGAGGAAAAAACCTCTTTGAGTTCCTACTCTTTTCACAGGGGTGCAGAAGAATTTTGGCTTTATTCTGCTTTCAATTACCAAAGATTCTCCCACCAGATGGGTGAACTAGGAAAGCCACTTACCAGGCCACGAAAAGGGCAAAACTTTGAAATGCACTTAAGACAAAGGAATCTAATACACAGCACACCCGACCGTCCGACCCTCTGACCGACAGAAGGGCTAACGGAGGCCAGGCATGACTGTCCATATTTAAAGCTTCGTGAAGCCCAACCTCTTTTGTTTTAAGATAAATAATGAAGTATGAATGCTTTATATCCAAAAGGACATATGGGACATCCTCTCCCCACTCCCTGTCAAGTCTTTTTACATATAAAATGATGAACAAACCATGATCCCTACAGAAGCCCGGAGTTTAGAGGAAGGATGAAGTGGACAGTCCATTTGGAGTATTTTCTTCCTAATGATTCTTCCTCTGGGTTTTTGGTCTTAACGTCGCCAGGCAAGCTGACTGTGAAAACTCTTTTACCATCTGTAAAATTCCTCCACGACTCCAGCAAAGGATATCGGAGCTGCAGGTGAATTTATAGGGATCATCACTCGTCTCTACCAGGCTTCAACAGAGAGCTCACTGGACTTTGACCAGTCAAAGTTTCACGGATGGCTTGGGCGCTTTACCTTCTGGGCCGGCCACCTCATACCCGACACTCCTCCTCCACTATAATAAATCTCCTTTTCCCGGGAGCGTCTCTCCTGCTCCTAGGAGATCATCATGGCTGCTCCAACCTCCTCCTTTCTCCAGCCGGGGAGGGCTTCAAAGGCTTGTCACAGCCAAACTGTAATCCTCTGGCTGGGATCTGAGCAGAGCTGGAGTGCAAGTCCTGATCAGCTTACCCTGGCGCTGTCCTAACCAATCACCCCAGAACCAACCAAAAGTGCAAAATCCTGAAGGATTTCTAAATACGAACACATTAATCATTTAAAAAAAAAAGCTTCTGTGTGCCAAGACACAACCAAGAACAGTCAAAGTCACACCAAGCTGGGAACAAACATGACAAGAAATTGTCCATAACTATGCCAAGAGGTTATTTTTTTCCCCACTAGTAGTTTAAAAAAAGCAACAGCAGAGGGCTGGAAGCGCAGTTGAGTGGTGGATGGATTGGTGGGTGCCTGCTTGGGATGCCTGGGGCCTGGGCTCAGTCCCCAGCACCCCGGAGGCAGGGAGAAGAGCAGAAAGATTTGAAAAGCAGTTACTCATTTCCAACATTTATCCAGTGTTCTGTTTTATTTTTAAGAAAACTCTCCATAGGCTCCCCACCCCCACCTAAGCACTGTCTCCTTCAGCAGGTCAGTTTTTTTTTTTTTTAAATACCTTTGTTTTGTTTATTTAGGGTTTTTTTGTTTGTTTTTAATGTGGTGCTGGTGATTGAACAGTGCCTCACACATGCCAGGCAAGCGCTCCACCACTGAGCCACAACCCTGGCCCAGCTGGTTGGTTTATAAAAAGCAAAATATATTCCCTCGGTTTGTTTTTAGAAACAAACCAAGACAGAACCTTAGAAAAAGTGACTTCAAAATTCCACCCCGAGATTTAAAGAACCACCGAAGTATACGTTTTTATGAATAGGTCAGGAAACCAGTGAAGTACTTACCATATAACATCCAACAAGGAAAGCAGCATTAGCTTGTTTTCTCTGATCAGAGCCAGTAAAATGAATAATTTTCTTCCTTATCATTGTAATGGACTGCGTGAAAATAAATAGTTGTTAGCATTTCCTTTTTGAGTTTTCTAAAACTTCACTTCGTGATAACACAAATTCACAATCTCACCAGAGAAGCACACACGTTAGCAAGGCTGTGGGAAAGACCAACACTGCTACCCAAAGATACCAGGCACCTTCCCACAAAGGGCATGCTCTGAAGCACAGATGAACATGAGGCTAAAGGGACAGAGACGCGTCCTGATCCAGGCTGACAGCCCACCGCTGGCTCATTTCCAAGAGGACCTGCAGGGCCGTAAAACCGACCCTCGGGACCGTGCTCAATCTGAATGCCACAGCCGCTCACAGTGCTGGGCGTTCCCAGGCTGTGATGTTCAGCCACTGGTCTCCACATTGTCCACAACTGGTCAGGTGTGTGGGTGTGTAAGCAAACGTCTCAAAGTCTAAAAAGCAACAACAAAGGAGACGGCACCTCTGCCACACAACTTCTCTTTCCTGTTCGCTTTTTCAAGTAATCCAAGCACCACTATGTTAAAACACAAAGGTAGAGGCCGGGGCTGTAGCTCAGTTGGCAGAGTGCTTGCCTCCCATGCACAAGGCCCTGGGTTCAATACCCAGCACCAAACACACACAAAAATACAAGAGTTTACAGAACAGTGCAAAAATATTCCACGCTGCCTAGAACCCGAAGAGTGGAATCCTGGGAGGGGCCGTGGAGGGGGCTCCGGTGGGCTCCTCTGGGGCTGCTGACTTTGTCCTGGATCTGCTGCTCAAGATACTTGCCCAAAGAATTCAGTCTGCACATGTGCAGAGCTACACACCCTCGGTCTGCATGCACTGCACCCCAACATGCATGTCATACTCAGAGTCTAATACAGAGTCTAATACAGAGAGAAACGGAAGTCAGAGGTGAAAGGAGCACTTCCCAGCTGCACTTCACTGCTGCGAGGAAAAGAAACTGGGGGAAGGAGGGAAAGGGACACGTTCAGCTGAGTGTATCTGGCCTGGCTCCTCTAAGTCCATTTTCCAGTGTTTCAATATTCTGCGCTTTCTTGATGAAGGCAGACACAGTTTCCTTTACTGGTTTACATAGAGTAAGAGACACAAGTTGATTTTTTAAAAATTTTATATATGATAATTAAAAAAACAAAGCCCTGGCAGTGGCACATGCCTGCAATCCCAACCACTTGGGAGGCAAAGACAAGAGGATCAAAAGTTCAAGACCAGCCTCAGCAACATAGCAAGACTCTGTCTCAAAATTTAAAATAAGAGCTGGGGAGGTAGCTCAGTAGCAGAGCAGCCCAGGGTTCAATCCCCAGTGCCAAACCAACCAACCCAACCAAACGTCAGCCATCTAGTAGCACAACAGGACAGTCTTCACATTGTAAGTCATTCTAGTAAACTACTTTTAAAAAAATTGAGATTGGTTTGGGTTGACCCAGACCAAAGGATAAGAGTCCAGGGACAGCTAGGCATAGTAGTGACTCTTTCAAAATTAAAGCAAAGAAATACAAGAAGGGGCAAATAAAAGGAATTATTTTTAGCTTCCCAGCCCTGTGGGAAACAAAATATCTGCCACTGGCAAGTGAAAAGAGGGGAGGGGACACGTGTACACAAAGCCATTCATGTTCACATTCCTATTTAAGGGAGCCCAGGAGGAATACAAGGTGATGCTTGGGGGGAGGGGGTTCCTTACTCAAAAGTTTTTAATTAAGGCAAATTAAAATTTGAAAGTGAAAAAATCTGTAAAATTGCCTGGTAGACAATCCACTGAACAACTCTTTAAAAAGGACCTGTTTCCCAAATGCAGACAAAATACAGTAAACTAATGCGTTACTGCTTGCAAGTGGTACCATAAACCTTTCCAATTGTGCCTGACCAATAATTCAAAGTTTCTAAAAGAATGAGGTCAAAATTTAAACCAAGAGAAATAATCTTTAGTGATATGCCGTTTGTCTTTGCCCCCCTCAATCATGAAGTATACAAGGTCAAAGAGTCACAACTAGTACTATATAATGGGGATTCTAAGACAGGAGAGATAGCAGAGCCCATTTTTCCTGTTACTTTGCTAGCAATCCCTCATCACAATAAAGAAAGAACAATGACCAAAGCCCGGAAAGAATTTCTCATGCCATTAAGTCAGACAGTAGAGTCTTACTGAATTAACCAACCTCCACTTTGACTTTTCAAGTATTTGAGCATCAGCAACCCAAGTTAAATCAGCTGGCCCAAATTTTAACTGTTGCAAAAAAACTCTAGAAAATAAATATAAGCACTATGACTTTACAAGACAAACAAATGTTTGTCCTAAACACCACTACAGCGACATCCTAAAAAAAGTCATTTCAGTAAGAAATGGTATTCTTAAAGGGAAAGAATGCTTTCAAACCCTCTATGAATTTTCTTAAAACCTTAAAAAAAAAAAAAGAAGTTGTCCTTAATTTCTTCCCAAGACTAAATTAACAATGATTACTCAGGTCAAATCTTAAACAAAAAAGACTTTACCTTGAGTTTCTTATTTATCTTGCAACAATATCTGTAAACCATTGCCAGATTGAGTGGTCCGAAATCTGCGTAGAAGCTTTAAAAATAAAAAATAAAAGCATGTATGTATATGCTAAATACTCTGAATACAAATGCCTGTGTGTGTGTGTGTATAAGATCAAATTAAGGACCAGAGTACATCCACCAAACCAACCGATCAGGTCACACAATTCAAAGCACCCCTTCTAGTGGTAGGAAAGTTCCGGTAAGCAATGCCTACTGAAAATAGCAACCAGGGGGCTGGGGGGGTGACTCAGTGCTGGAGCACCTGCCTGGCACACTTGAGGCCCTGGTGTTCCATCCTCAACAAAGTAACACACACAACACACACACACACACAAGCAACATGTGTCACAGCCTCCCTGAAACTTCAATTAACATGAAAATACCTTCCAAAATAAGCAAGTTGTTCTTCTATTCAAATTTTCTACTGGAGAAACCCGTGTTTAACTTAGTATACACTGTCTCATTGCAGTGCAAACTATTAAATACTGAATATAGGAAAGGCCTTTCATTTTCATTTCCCTCCTTAAAGGTCTATTTTATTACTAGTTTTTTGTTTTTTTAAAAAGCATCTTGCAATGAGCAACCAACAGTTTTGTAAGTTTCCAGGGCTTTGCGCATAATAAACATACCTTTAGATTGTTCAAAAAACAAAAAAGTTACAATCTTTTTAAAAGCAATACTTACTTCTCATATTCAAGTTCATTATCTATGCTGAAATAATGTTCATTTGATGCACTCTTTGGTCTGCTGTAGAGAATGGCAAAACAAAGGCGATCTGAAATGGAAAAATTGCAATGTTCCTTCCTTCAAGTTATTTAAAATAAAATTTTAAAAGTTTCCTATAGCATGGTGCAACTATTCCTCAGATTAAAGTCAAGAGTCTTATTTTTTTCCATGCATGTTTCAGATGGTAGTGGTGGCAAAAGATAATTTCAAAATATTCTGACTGTGGATGGATAAGAATAAGCAAAATTTTTAAAGGAAAAATTGCCTTTAAACCTAAGTTTCATCAGTAGTGACATCACATCTAGTGATAAGGTCTGACTTCTGAAGGAACTAAAACTTTAGTTCCCCTGGACTAAGACATTTCAACAAAGACCACACAGCATACATTTGGTGCTTTACTACTAGCTTCAGCTCAAGCTTCCAGCCATCTGGAAAGTCATTTCGGTAAGAATGCTTTCAAAATTACTGTTCGCAGCTAGCAGAAAACAACCAAACAAACCATATGTTTACCCAACTGTTGGCAGGGATTGCTGTTTTTTTTTTTTTTAATTTGGAATCTCTACTTTGTGTTTTTTAAACAATAAGACAAATTAATATTAATTAAAACACAAGAAATGAGAGGTTTCTGCATAATGAGACAGATGAACTTGTGCTTCTTAACTGCAGACAAGCGGGTATGGGGCACGAGAATGTTCATGTTCAGAAGCTTCACCCTTCTCCCCCCACTCAAAAAAAGGTGGCCTAAGTCCTCAAAGCCCTCTGCACAGGGTAGTGACTCCAGTCGTGCTCGGGGATACTTACACTCAAAACGTGGCAAAAATGAAGGCAGCCTTCAAAGCGCGTGTTACTTTCAGACAAGAAACAGGGCGCCAGCTGGCATCCTTTCCCCCAGTGGTAAACTTTTTTTTCCTGGTCTGCGATTCAACTCACGCCAACTGCTACATTTATTTCCTCATAAACTCAGCTCCACATTCCTGGCAGCGGGTGACAGCTCACTCCTTCCCAACCACCAGCGACCTCTGATCCCGCACAGCACCCAGGACGTGGGGGTGGCTGCGAGGCAGGGAGGACACGGGCCTGTCCACCTGGGAGGCTTCGCCAAGCCGGACCCTGGGGTCTGCCCTGGACGCCCACCTCTCCAAGCCCAAGGGTGCCCGCGAGTGCGGGCTCGTGGGCACCGCCCGTGCCTCCCGCCGGCCCTCTGTCACCTCAGCCACCAGTGAGCCCTGCGCCCAGATGCCTACCCTAGTGTCACCTCAGTCCCAAAGCGCCCCCCCTCCCCGCCTCACCTTGGATCACCTCGGCCACCAGAGCGGACCCTGCGCCCGGGCGGCTCATAACGCTGGGGCATCTGGAGGGCGGGGACAGAGGGACCCGAGGGTCGGGACAGCCAGCAGAGAGGAGAGGTGGAGCCGCGACCACACCCCCAAGTTTAAAAACAGAAAGTTTAAAGGGCCGCGCCCAGCACAGCACCGCGCCGCCCCGGGATGACAGACAGGCGCGGGCCAACCCGGAAGTGCAGAACTGGGTCCCCGAGGTGCCCGAGGGTGGGCGGCGAGGCGCGGGACAGACAGGGCAGCGGCGTCAGAGGCCGCGGGCCAGAGCGCCACGGGGCAGGCCCGGGAGGACAACCAGGGCACCAGGGCGCGGCGCTAGGACGGCGGGGCTCCAGGCCGGGGCCTGTCCGCCGCCCTCGGCCGCCCGCCCCCGCCGCCAGGGGGCGCTGCAGCCGCAGGCGCTCGCGAGGAGAGGGTCCTGGGCGTGCACCAGAGGCAGCCCAGACCCGCGTGCACGGCCGAGACCCCCGAGACCCCCGTGGGCAGCCAAGACACACTCCGGGCAGGCTTAACACCCTTGCGCAGCCATGACACCCCTGCGCGGCCAAGAACCCACTGGGCAACCATAACCCACCCCGTGCGCAGGGAGCGCAGCCACACGCTCCTGCGCACCTATGGCTCCTGCGCACCTATGACCCCAAGCGCAGCCTCAAGGCCCCACTGCGCAGCCACAAGGACCCCCTGCGTGACCACGATGCCTCCTGACGGGGCCAAGGTCCCCCTACAGGGCCAGGACACCCCCTGAGTGGCCAAGGCCCTCCGGCACGGCCAGAATGCCTCCTGCGCGCCCCAGGTCCACCCGCGCGCGGCCGCGACGCCTCCCCCTACGAGGGCTAAAGTCCCCCTGCACGGCCACGACGACACCCCCTGTGAGGCCAAGGTCCCCCTGCAAGGTCACAACTGCGCCCCCTGTGCGGCCAAAGTTCCCCTGCACGGCCACGACTGCGCCCCCTGCGCCACCAAGTCCACACTGAGCGGTCGCGACTGCGCCCCCTGTACGACCAAGCCTACACTGGGTGGTCACGACTGCACCCCCAGTGCGACTAAGCCTACACTGAGCGGTCGCGACTGCGACCCCTGTGCGACCAAGTGGTGCACCCAAGGCCCCACTGCGCAGCCTGGACAACGCCCGCTGCGCAGCCAGGATGATCCTCCCATCCTGAGAGGCCAGCACGCCCCCTGCGACGGCCAAGGCTCCACTGCAAGACCACCACGCCCCCCGCGCGGCCACGACGACGCCCCCTTCGCTGGCCTAGTCCCCACTGCACAGCTACGACGATGCCCCCTGTGCGGCCAAGCCCCCACTGGGTGGCCAAGGACCCACTGCGCAGCCAGGACGACACCAGCTGCGCAGCCATGAAGATGCCCCTGCAGCAGCCAAGGCCCCACTGCGCAGCCACGACGGCCCCGCCCCCGGGGTCCAGCAGGATGGAGGCACTGCCTCAAAATTGTGCAAGATCTAAAGATAAGCCTGCCCTTAGGAATTACCTGTTACCAAGATTTAAAAACAAAACCTCTGATATCCTTCCCAGTAGCCATTCAAAATCTCTCTAAACCTATGTCCACATTTTAATCTTACGTGGGGGGAAAAAAAAACACAGTATGCGTGTGATCCTGGCTGTTCTAAGACTTTTCTAAGAAATAGAATACCTACAAGCCACAGGAGATCAACTGCTAAATTAATCACACTTTGACACACAATCTTAAATGGTATTCACGGCATTCAATACATAAACTTTAAGAGGAGAACTGGAAAGAATTTTTAAATTCACCTCAAAGATGCCCAATTTTATGTGATTGCAAATATGACAGAAGTGCACATTTAATCTATGAAGTACTATATTTTCCCTCAAAAAAAATCAAAAGCACTTGGACAGTGTTCTGTGCTAGGAAGGTTGTGGGTAAACAGGCATCCACACACACTGCCTGTGGGCAGGAACAGAAATCTGGCCAGCCTCCTGAAGGACCACAAAAGGGCAGTTTGGCAAAAATGTTTATGAAAACTGGAAAGATTGCCAAAATAAGACTGTTAATTACCATTTACACACGTTTCAGCATGTAGAGAACTGTATGTGAAACCTTTCCAGGAGACACAAGAAACTGGTATTCAAGGATGCCTTGTTGACAGGAAGCTGGTGTCTGAAATAGCATCCTTTTTACAGCTTTTGAATTTTGTGACATATATTATTACCTAATGAAAATGACCACATTCTGAAAAGTTAAATGTGCAAGCCAACAAGTTTCTCTTCATCAGGATAAAAACACTGGCCGGGTGTGGTGGCACAGCCTGTAATTCAGCAACTCCGGAGGCTGAGGCAGGAGGATGGCAAATTCAAAGCCAGCCTCAGCCACTTAAGGGAAGTCCTAAGCAACTCAGAGAGACCCTGTCTCTAAATAAGATACAAAATAGGGCTGGGATGTGGCTCAGTGGTTGAGTGCCACTGAGTTCAATCCCCAGGACCCAATTTAAAAAAAAAAAAAAAAAAGATACAAAGCATGGCATGAAGGAACCCAGAAAACATTCTTGGTGAGGTTGAGGTTTTTCCTGAGTCCAGTACTGGAGTTTGGTTCCTTCATCTCTACCTCATGCCAGTGTTCTCTGGTTACCAGCACTGCACTAACCCACCCCAGAGACTAGCGACTAGCGTGCTGGTGAAGGGGCATTTGTTAGGAACCTGGAGCTAAGACACAGGGCTCTGTACAAAGCTGTACTTAAAGGTCCACAGCTGACACTATTATCCTGGTGTAAACCTGTGTCCCCCTTAAGTGGTGGGACATAGTGTATACAGGACTCAGTACCACTGCTGTTTCAGGCGTCCATGGGGCAGGTGGGGGGTCCAAAAATACACCACACAGATGGGGGGGGGACTACTTTATTTGCATGTGAACAGAAAGAACTCTCCCTGGATCAAGAGACACTGGCTTGCCACACTCCATAGTCCCCCTGGATCTGGGCTGACTGCTCAGGCCCTGGCGGAGCAGCTGGGGGAGAGCAGGGCTTCCCTAGACGGAGGGACAGCTGGCTTGGTAGGCAGGCAAGGCAGGTGCAAAGGAGATTCCACGCTGCAGGCAAAGAAAAACACAGCCCAACATGCAGGGCAGTACTGTACGCCCGTAATCCCAGCAGCTTGGGAGGCTGAGGCAGGAGGACCTCGAGTTCAAAGCCAGCCTCAGCAAGAGCAACTCAGGGAGACCCTGTCTCTAAATAAAATACAAAATAGGGCTGGGGATGTGGCTCAGTGGCCAAGTACCCCTGGGCTCAATACCCAGTACCAAAAAGAGGCCCAACCGCAGGAGGCATCTGAACGCTCAGGAGCAGGCACTGGGCATGGCTCTGGCTGTCCTTGAGAAGTGGCCAGGGGGCAGAAAGGAAGAAATGGCACAAAGGTACTGATTAAATAAAGAGGTTATCCATTAAAACAATGACAGCAGGCAACTACTCAGAGTGTGGAGCTAGGTGCTGTAGAGACCACTGACATTTTCCCGAGGCAAGTGCCAGCCTGTACAGGTCATGCAGCTTGCTGGGAAGTGGCCGGAGTCTGCACACAGGCTACTGACTGGAGTCCGCAGTGTCTGGTGTTCAGGTCTCAGCTACACAGACATGCCCTCATGCGAAAGAGTAATCCAAACAACTTCATGAGACCTGGCTCCTGCCGGGCACGGTGGTGCACACCTGTAATCCCAGTGGTTCAGGAGGCTGAGGCAGGAGAATCACAAGTTCAAAGCCAGCCTCAGCAACTTAGCAAGACCCTGTCTCTAAATAAAACACAAAATAGAGCTGGGGGATGTGGCTCAGTGGCTAAGCATCCCTGGGTTCAATCCTCAGGGCCACAGGAATGCTCAGCATGTGAGAGAGCTGGTATTTCAGCTCTGTGACAAAGGCGGTCTTCTCTCATAAGGGGCAAGTAGCTAATTATCACAACAGAGAAAAATGCCTGCAATACAGCAACCCATTGGGGAAAAAACTCCATAAAAGCTATTAACCATCAACTCAGAAAAGATAGACAAATGACCAACTGCCTTTGGAAAGAAAATGAATCTCACCAGTGGCTTGTCATAAAAAGCAAAAAGTCTATCCACATGGACAGATTACAGGAGAGAGTCACATGATTATCATTGAATACACACAAAAAAGGGAGTGCCTAAAGTCAGCACCTGGACGGGGGACATGGCTCAGTGATAGAGTGCTGGTCTAGCACAGGAGAGATGCTGTTCACCCCCCCAGGACTGCCAAGAGGAGAAAACCAATGCTCACTCACAATCCAGTGTGTCAGTGTGAAATTCAGCACCAACAGGGCAAAAAGACAACTCCTTCACCTGGTAAAGACCATCTTCCAACCACAGCAAGCACCACACTTCCCACCCAACTGGAGAAGCCACAAGAAGAAACAACAAGACAAAAATCCCTCTCATGACTTCTAGTTAATAACATGATTTCTGATGCCAGCATAAGCAAAAGGGATAATTAGAAAGGAAGAAACGAACCTTGTTTTCAGACAGTGATTATGTACCTAGAAAACGCAAGAGATTCTGTAGGCAAACTATTAAGGACAAATAAACTAAAAGTTTTACAAAGCTTCTAGATAACAACGAGTAACTCAGAAAACCAGGAGCTTTTCTACATCCCTGTATTAACCAATTATGAAATGCAAGAAAAAAATAAAAGATGTGCCTATTCTTTATGGCTAAGTGGACAAAAAAATAAAGCAAGTATATCAATGGGAAGATTCAATAGCTCAAAGATGATGATCTTTCTTCAAACTGATTCTGATCAAACTCAGGATCTGATCCGGGAGCAAGTTCAATCTTCCACAGGCCTCTCCATGCAACCTGGCAAACATCTCCTAAAATTGTTCTAGAAGAAAAACAACACAAGCAGGACCTTGTCCTGCTGAAATATTATAATGTAGAACCACTTGGGCAGTTCTGGCAGTGCAGCCACAGTACAGGAGCTCAGAACTAGAGCCACACACCTGGAATCGCCCAGGGGGAAGACGCATCCCCCCACCACCGGGTAAGAGTACTGGACATCTGGTGTGGACAGTCCCCTGCCCATACTGCAGGGTGGGGGAGGGAGGACGTCCATCCAGGTCTCGTGCCATACCCTCCTGCCCCCCAGGAAGAAAAAAAAAATCTCAGGTTAAAAACCTGGATACAAGAAGACAGCTTGAAAGTTTTCAGGAGAAAAAACAGGTTTTAAAAGGTAACTCCCAGACTAAAAAGAAGATAGCAACATTTGTGTCTAAACTAACCAAGGATCGGTATTTAGAAATAACAGAGGATAGGAAGGGAGAGAGAAACAACCAGCAGCACCCCAGGAACCGGCAGGAC